TCTCTCCTTTCAGAACTAATCTATGTAAGAAGTAGCAATTTTTTCCTTCAGTTTCTGAAGTTTTGTTCAGCTAAACCTTTGGTCCCAGTGCTTTGGAATTTTAAGATGTTTACGTGAGACTTGCACTTAAATGATTCCATTGGAACTGGAGCGTGGCACAAGCTGTAGTATTTGGGGGCAATACATACAGAATGGCCTAAATATCTTGATGAATTTCAAATGCTTTGGAAGTCTATATTTTATATTACTGACTCATTTGGCAGATCTAGAAGAATAAATATATTAACTCCAAATGCAACCTGCAGCAAACAGTTTATCTCCATCCTGTGAAAAATGGCACGAAAAACTAAGGATCACTGATAAAAGATCAATCCTGGATCTTAGGGTTCTCTAGTAGTTATTTAATTTTATTTTGTTTGAAATTAGCTAGAGTGAATAGCTAGACAGTCACTAAGGACTAACTAGTTGTCAGGCTCGTTGCTCTTAGCCCTAGTGATATCCCAGTGGTGCGGTCACAGCTGTGCTCCGGGACACGAGCAGAAGGTTTGTGGGTGGAGAGCTTTCCTTCCAGAGACATCGGTCAGTCAGAAAGGATGTTGCTTTTCTTAATAAACCTCTCTTGCCTTTCATCTCCTTGTCTTGGGCGTTTAAGCCCCAAGTTTAGGACTTACCTGTGCTTTCAAGCTTATGTGGGTGAGATGATCCAGCCCCATGCCCGTGCAGCTGTGCCAGCCCAGAGTATGGACCAGCACAGAGAGGGAACGCTCCTGCCAGCAGCACAGCTGGTGGGTCAGGTTGGAGTGGGTGTGGAGGAGCAGCGAGGACCTGGAGAGAGCTCTGTCCCTGCGGAGAAAGTGAGATGATTTGTGCCAGTGTGTGTTTGTATGGCTGCATCGGTGTCGCTGTTAGGGTGAAGGGATCGCTCCAGCTGTGCCGCAAATATGCGCAGATCCTAAAGAAGAGTCTGTGGGCACCTGGGGCATGCACCTTCAAGACAGAAAGCTGCCCAGCAAGGCCTGGTGTGCTCCTCTCTGGAGAATTTGGACAAGGAGGTTATGCTTGGCTTGGCTGAGTCTTTCCTCCTGGCCTTTCTGCAGATGTTTTATCTCACCACATACAGGCTGTCAGGGAGCCCCTGAATACCTCAAGTGAGGATTCCCAACATGATTTGCTTTAGGCAATACGCTCAGCAGTGGTGGAAGCAGCACCTTGCTCTTGGGACACATCTCTGCTCTTCTCTGAAACACTCTGAGAAGTGCTGGTAGCAGCGACATCACTTGGGAGTCTCCAGGGTGGGAAATACCTTTGTCTGCTCCCAGGGTGTGTTGGAGAGACCCAGGCTGCGGGGATGGGATTCAGGGTGGCCCCAGCAGCTCATGGGGAGTGTGGTGAGGGACTGTTACAGTCCGTTATCCTACCAGCGGCTCTCACGGGTGCTGGGTTATGTCTACATAATGTATGAAATATAATCAAAAGGATTGTTCCACAAAGTGATGTAAAGGTGTCAGAGCACGCACTGAACACACACACCTGAAGACGTTGCTGAGCATAACGTCGTGGCCAGCTTTCCTCTTGGCTGATGGAATCACTGTTTTATATTTGTGCTCATTTGGGAGATCTATAAATATGTAATAGAAAAAAAAAACATAATCAGGCAGCTGTAGATGAGTTTTACTAATCCACAAATTCATTATTCAAGCATCTAAAAATACCTGATCCTTGCTGAAAGTAGAGGATGATACTACAGGAGGAGGAGAAGTGGCTGTTACTGGTGGTGTCTCATTTACATGAAAAATTGTGGATGCCTTATGATATGATTACAGGCAAGATTTCCCCCCTCAAAACAAGTGGCATACAGTGTTGTTATTTAGCTTGATGTAAGTAGACAGATCAGAAAATATATAAATACCTAATAGTAGTACTTCTCGTTAGCTCAATTGCCCCAGGCCAGAGGGGCCGGGAGGCTCCAAGGTCTCCAAATCAGCTTTGCAAAGTGACAGCTGTTGAGGCTCTCTTCATCTACATCAGAGCGATGATAAGTAAATGTGAATTCAGATGCCCTAGTAATGCTTGATAAAGCATGCTAGTGAAGGTGAAAAGTGACAGCTAAACTGAAAAATATTCTCAAGGCAGAAGAAAGAAAATTCACCATGATGTGGTTGGCGGTGGGAGGAGAAATTTGCGGTACAGTGACTGTCCCCAGATGGAATCAGCAAATTCTGTTGTGTATGTGTGTTTTTAGGGTCGTTCAATAGAAGAAAAAGAAATTCCCTCTACGTAACTGTGACTCTCCTCATTGTGTCAGTATTAATTCTAACGGTGGGCCTAGCTGCTACAACAAGAACCCAAAATGTGACTGTTGGAGGTTATTACCCAGGGGTTATTGTAAGTATAGAACTCCTAGGTAGGTCTAGAAAACTTATTGCCTACAAAGTCCCTTGTAATGCTGCGAATGTTATAAAGGGTGATCTTATCCTGACTATTATGCTTAGCTACTTCATTGCCATTTGATTTATTTGTTTTATTATTATTTTGCACCTGCTGCTCATCCCCATGCAAAAAATCCCATGCAAGTGGCAGCTTCCTCTGAGCTTAGGTAATAACATGCTTTCGAGCTAACGGTGAGACAGATAAATAGGTCTTATGTCAGTCAAAGCAACCTTAGAACTTCTTTGTTTGCATACATCACATTAACCCCAGGCAGAAGTAAGGCAAAGAAGGTGCCAAGAACACTTGAGACCAGGTCTTGAAATACTGTTCGCGTGAACTCGTGGTCATAAAGTTCACTTGCAGAAGTGTTCAACGATTCGGAGTCCCGGAATGAGGAGAAGCACGTTAGCGATAGCTGTGGCAGGCT